GAAGTGTTTTGATGAGTATAATCCTAGGTAGACCAGGATGATACTCTATATGTAAATGATGTTTTGATTATCTTTTTGTATTAGTGTTTATTGTAATAATCTGTAGTGTGTAGGTCTACATGGGGGGCGGGGCTCATTACCCCGGCGTGTCTCTGGCGTCCATGTAGGACCCCCCCTTGCTAAAGACCACCATGCTGTCCCTTTTGCACATCTTGGGACACTGGTGCGAAGCTAAAACAAAAAGGGGTTAATCATCTACGGTCTAGGGGCCGACTAACCTCTCCCTTAGGCTTCGGCCGAGCTTCCTGATCAGTCTGTAATTCTCCGGATAGCGGTGTCGGGGTCGAAATCTCCGGCGTAGCCGTAAATGCTTCGCGCTGCCATACGACGGTTCAGCACTCGATGTCTGGAAGTATGGTCCTAGTTTTATTAACCAATATCAAAAAAAAAWTTCCCGAAAAAGAATGTATAGAAGTGCGCATGCGCCTTTGAGTTTTTTCCGACTACAATTTTCAATATATTTTTCAGATTCGTAATTCGTAATTATTTTTTTATATATATGTTTTAAATATGCCTACTTCCTTTAAACTTGAAGGATAAGAAAATAATAATGAATTGAGTCAATGCTTTGTTCATCCTTACCTCAGGGTAGCTTCCCAAAACAAATAGTCCAAATAGTGGGGTCCGACAAGGTCCATTCAGATTGCACACTAAGCTAAAAAGATCTACTAGAGATTGTTGGAGATATTCACAAGTATCGGGGTCGAAAGGGTGCTGGTTGTCTACAAGAAGAATATGAGCTGTAGGAAAAATAAAATTAAAGCTTATTAATTGGCGTGAAAAACTGAAAAAGTCCGAGTTCACTTGGACGACTGACTGAAGAAAAATCCATCCAAAATTGAGTTTTTACAATTGATCGTAGTTCTATTAGCTTATAATCTTGAAGCTTAATTTGTAAAATATGTTTAGGGTTTTTACCTGGTTGTCTTGCAAACACCGATCTCGTTTCGTTTTGCATCTTTTTYGTGGTGAAATCTGAATGAAATCCAGCAACTAGTGAGTACTTGAAACTTTCATTGGATATTATACTTTACAAATTTAGAAAGAATGCTTTTCTAGCTCCAAAATATCAAGAAAACGTCAAAGAAAAAGATTCCTTCGAGAATTTTATTTCGTGAAAAGATGACAAATATTTTGGCGGGAAAATGACGCGCGCGCGTACATTTCACACTAATGATCAAGTATTGAATTCTCCTAAAAAACATTGGATACTTGAAAACAAATTCCTAAAGTTTCAAATCGATAATATTAAGAAACATTTCTGACTTTTATGATTAAAAAATGAAATAAGGATTAATACTTTTAAGACAATTAGCCTTTTCTTTTAAGCTCAGTGGTTTCGATTGAAGGCACAAAAGATTTGAAAATCTGATCAAGATCTAAATTCTTACAACTAAAGGCAGTGTAAACCACTGGTCAGTGGGTTGCGGGCTCATACCGGCGTAAAAATCGTGAGAAGAAAAGGAGAAAAGTTTCTCGTGTTTGACAGAATTTTACGCTGAAAATGAGAGACGTAAAGGTATTCCTTGGCAATAAACAGAGTGAAGGAGGTCCACTGGCATCGGAATGGGCAGCACTGGAAGAATTATACGACAAGAGGTATGTTTTATAAGGGTTTTGACTGTGTTTAATGGAGGTCAATTGTGCTTAGTCATGACCGGTTTTTTTCTACTTTCAGCTCAAATCTTAACGATTTTTAACGTTATTTGGAAACACTGCCCTTTATTATTTCACAAATGTATGATCTATGGATATTTTATTCTGAGAAACTACAAAAAGGACTAGGAATCAATCCTTCGTCCTCTCTAAGCACATAGATTTGCCATTCTGTTGTCAGAGATAGTTGTCAACATGGAATTCCTTTGTATTTTTTATAATTTTGAAGAAAAAAAAGTACTAAAAAAATTCTTTATCACTTATTGAGTTTGTTTGAGAATAATATTAGGTCATTTACTATCGTAATAAAGGAGTTTGATTGAAGAATTTTAAAAATAATTGATTGTTTGGGCTTCCTGTGGACAACACATTTCAAACTACATTGACTTTCATGAGCGATCTTCTACCGGACATTATTATATAGTTAGGATAGTACTTGTGTGCTGATTGGTCGAAAACTGTGCTTTATTAGTGAAYGAAGCACAGTGCTGATGCCATCTGCACAAGCGAAGTGCTGATAGATCCTGTGACTGCTTTTCTCTTTGCTTAAAGTGCACATGAACCCTTTGACAATACTTTCAGTACTGATTCTGCATAAAGTAAATAGTTGATTGGTAAAATATTTCTTGATTTGAGTGATGCGTCTTTAAGTTATGAAGGTTTATACTTCCAATATGTTAATGATGATGACGTCAGGTAAGGTATTTGAGTGTTTTTGTTGTAACTAGTAATACTAAATGCTGGCCATTTTGAAAATAAAAATTGTAAATAGCTTTCATGTAAACCATGAGTAAAATAATGATGCTTTTTAAATACTGTTTCTATGAACCAGTTCGATTTTGTATATTTGATTAAGCCTTAATAGACGTCACACTCATTAGCATATTGGAAGTATAAACCTTCATAACTTAGAAACGCATCACTCAAATCAAGAAATATTTTACCATTCAACTATTTACTTCGTGTAGAATCAGTACTGAAAGTATTGTCGAAGGGTTCATGTGCACTTTAAATAAATGAAATACCTAAATTAGATTAGTAACTATATAATGAAACGTTAAAAAACAATGGAAACCAGCTCTCTTGTGCTCTGTTCCACATGTATGTGTGTATTCTCAAGACTCATGCCACACTTCACACTTTTTTCATGCTTTCAGCACTTCCTGCAAGCAATATGTATTTCTGACCTGAGCATAGTAAAACCTTTTTTATTATTTTATTCCTTAAATACATAATTGAAATTTGATATGAGTTGTATTTTGTTTATCATAGATTATGGCATCAGCTCACACTGGCCTTGGTCGAGTTTGTGAAAAATGATTATTTTGTCAAAAATAAGGGACTTTTAGATGTAAGTGTTATATGTATGTGTGGTGAAAACCAAGTAAAAAAAGTTCTTTTAAAACAGAAGTCAGCTCAATATATATACTACCCATATTTTAATGTTTTTTTGTTATTGTTGTTTGCAGATGCATGAAAACTTCTTGGCAGATTTTGAACACAGGTAATCTACAATATTGCCATTCACATGGGAGGGGAGGGAAGGGCTGATCAAATTGGTAGTCTAAAATGTGCCCATTAAATAAGGAAGAGGGGGATTCCTTCTCATAGTGGGTTAGAAAATTCAGTATGAAACATACTGATTTCAAAGTTGTCCCAACTTACAGTTGAGTTTTGTGTGGGGATTCTCTTCTATAGAACAATATTGTTTTTTTGTTATCCAGTTGTACTACAGACCTGTATCTGATGAGCAGTACTTTTCATAGACTGTGTCCCCCTGTCTTGCCCCTCACACACATGTGAATCTCTGTCTGAAAAAGTTTCTTACACCTTAGTATGATCACTATCTATTGTTAAATTGCAGGATAAATCCATTGACATTGATGGAAATTAGTTTATATATCGTGAAAGAATATTCAGGTATGTCTGCAGTAACCATGGCGTTAACTTTGTAATAGTAAAGCTTTTGCGTTGTAGAATGCCATATATAACTTATTGAATTAAAATATTTTTTTAGTCATTTTTTTCCAACTTATTTTTTTAATCAGATCCTGACAAAGCTGTTGAGTTTTTGGAAAAGCAGAGAGAAAAGGTATTTGATTACATTTACATGCATTTATCATTTTATTATGGATTGAATACAGTAAAAGAGTAAATGTTTTAAAACAGTACTGGAAATTTCTTGGTCCGCCCTGATGCATGCTAGTGCCTAGTCCCTTTAACAGATAGTTTTTCTTATTGAGCATGCGCAAAATCATGTTTACTTCAGCGTGTTTGAAAATTTGCACTCTGGAGACCGTTTCCACAAATTTCCTGATACGGATACAAACATTTCCTGACACGTGTGGACGCAACCCGTATCTGCAAAAAAAATTTGCAGATACAAAAATTTGCAGATAGGTGTGGACGGGCCCTGAGATATCATGCAGCACATAGTAGAGCTGTAAAACTGAAGTGACATCTAGTTATTGAATATCTTTTTGTTGTTTATCAAATAAAAGGTGAAGAATGTATTGGAGGCAGACATTCTATGCCTTACTTCTATTGGAAACATCAGGCTGGAAGAGAAAAAGATGAATGAAACCAAGGTACTTTAGTCTGACTTAGTGTGGGTTCACTCTATGCATGTATGGGGATTTAATTTGCATTTTGTTTGTCCTCATTTTTGCAAATAAAGTTGAAAGAAATAAAAATAAATATTCAATGATATGCTACATATTAAATTTTGTAAATTTTGACCACTTTATAATGTGGCAACCCATTGTATTAAAGGTCATGATAAATCAATTTGTTTTCTTTCAAGACTGTTATTGCACAAGCCAGAGAAATGCTGGACACTATTGATGGAGTCACCACAGTTCACGACAGATTCTATAAGCTGTGCAGCAACTTCCACAAGGTATAAAATTTCATACTATTGTCTTAAAGAAAATCAGGATGCATGTAGTATTAATTATTGCTCAAGGTTGCCTTTATACATTTTACTTGCCATGCCCATTCAATTTTTATGGATCTTAATTGCTTTTCCTAAACAACATACGGACCTAAGACTTGACAATGTTATATGATAACGTAAAAACGTATCAATAAGACTGTCAATGCCCATTCCAAGCTCCACTAGATAGTGCCGTAATGATTCTTGAATACAGATTGAAAGATTTGAAAGATCAATGGTTAATTATAAAAGTTTGATGATCATGATAGTTTTAATAATTAATCAGATTTCAGGAAACTACAATGAATATTACAGAGATGCCTTACGTTATCTAGGATGTGTGGATCTCAGTCAATTATCAGGTTAGTATATTGGCTACAGAGATGCCTTACATGTACATTATCTAAGATGTGTGGATCTCAGTCAATATTATCAGGTTAGTATATTGGCTACAGAGATGCCTTACGTGTACATTATCTAGGATGTGTGGATCTCAGTCAAT